CAGTAATGGGACAATCTGTCAATCTGTCACCTAAATCCTTTAGACTTTACTACCTGCCACAATCCCTCCAAAATTCTCTCTGGTGAAAGGCTAATTTTAAGTTGGGGCAGGAAACACACTCTGTTAATTAATGCAAAGAAGAAAACACTTAAGTAACAACAGAGGCACCCAGGCCTCAGGGAACATGAACCCCCAGTTACTTGGAAGACTACAAGTTCAAAATTTGCCTCAGCTCCAGTGTGTCTGAAGACAGCTATAACGTTCATATAAATATTCAGAACAGTCTTCAAAATCAGGAATGTCTATATACTTTTAGTCCCAGCAGAAGAATCAAGCACTAGAAGCCAGATTACGTTATAGGAGACCCTACCTCAAAACAGATAAATAAATAAATAAATAAATAAATAAATAACCAACCAACCTAGCTGGATGTGGTTACATAATCCTTTGCCTTTAATTCTAGAACTAAGGAGACAGAGGCAAGTAGATCTCTGAGTTCAAGGATAGCCTGGTCTATATAGTCGAGAATTTCTCACAAACACCCATAAATGTTAGTTAGCAACTTTAGTATACATGCCTACAAACTCAGATTCTCTCTCCTAAAGGAAATAGTCACATTTCCCTTCCCTTGGGTATGAGTAGGACCTAATCAGAGTGAAAAGGGGAACACAGCCACCTTACCCTCCTCATACCATAAAGGTACCACAGTGCCATGGATGGCACAGGAGATGGTGGTATAGACCTCCGTGGTCCTCCCACAGAACCATAAACCCAATCTAGTCATAAGACAAACCTGAATGAGATCCTAGGTGTCAAGGTGGTGAAGGACAGAGAACAGAACCTCACAGGTGAGAGGAGAGTAAGGAGACAAGAAGACTGTGGATCCTGAAACAGACAAAGCACATTTGCAGAAGAAGCACCTGAGGAAACCAAACTAAAGCCTACGTCAATGGGGTTACCAATCTGGTTTGATAAATACACAGACTGCATAGGATGATGTAGACAGATCTGTGTTACAATTCTTCTAGAACTTAAAACTATATCAAATACTAACTTTTCCAGGAAGAAAAATGACAAATATCAGTAAGCTGGACAATTTGTTATTTTCTCCCTGAGTAGCCCCTGCCCACTCCAAAATTAGCAGAAAACTACTTAACCTATGTATGGCAGCCCACACCTTAACTTAATCCCAGCCTCAGGAGAACAGGCAGCCTGTGATGAACAGCAACACCTCAAAGTATAGGGTTATAACCCAAGGGCAGAACACTAGCCCAGCAAGCACAGGGTCCTGGTTCTGGTTTGATTCCAAACACCACAAAAAAGAAAAACTGGTGAGAGGAAAAGGCAGCTTACACTCAATTCTGAGTAACAACTCCAACTACTTAGATCCCAAGGCAGAGGTGGACATGCCAGGATTTTCTTTTTAGCGTGGAGTCTCACATAATCCAGGCTGGCCTGAACTCCGTATGTAGCCCAAGATAGCCCTGAGACCATTTTTAAAACACTAGAAGTTCCTGCGGTTGTGGTTCAGTAAGAGTCCATACTGGGTCCTGGTTTCAGTCTGCCACAGCAAAGTAACTGCTTAGTGACCAACAGAAAACACATTGCTCTTTGCCTTTTACACCGAAAATGCAGCACCTGCTAAAGAACAGCACTAAGCCTTCCCGGGCTGCAGCTTTCTTTCCGCTTTGTAATGCAAACTATGCTCTTAGCCTTTCACCTGGCTAGCAGCTCAGTTTTCCCAAATAAAGTTGCACATTAAAATAATAATAATAAAGTAGAGAGCAGTAAATATTTCTAGCTAACAGCCACTAGTCACTAGCTACAAGTGGGGTGACAGCTGCTGAATCTAAATTTAACACCTGAGGTTGGACGAAGGTTCTCCTGAGCTTGGGCAAAGGTTCCCCCACCAACTGTGACAACTACAGGGGAAAAGGAACATTATTTCTTTCTTAAGGGTCTTAACTTTCTTTCTTACAGGGTCTTAAAACTGTGTAGCTCTGCCGGGCGGTGGTGGCGCACGCCTATAATCCCAGCACTTGGGAGGCAGAGGCAGGCGGATTTCTGAGTTCGAGAGTTCGAGGCTAGCCTGGTCTACAGAGTGAGTTCCAGGACAGCCAGGGCTACTCAGAGAAACCCTGTCTCGAAAAACCAAAAAAAAAAAAAAAACTGTGTAGCTCTGGCTGGCCTGTAACTCACTATATAGACAAGGCTGATGCCTGGAACTCAAGAGATCTATTTGCCTCTGCCTGAGAGTGCTGGAATTAAAGATGTGTGCTACCACACCTAGCTTATCTACCTATTTGACAATTATCTTCTCTGTAAGTCAGCAATGTAATATAAACTGTAAAGCATACAACTCTATTTCGGCACTGTAACTTTAAAAACAAACAAACAAACAAAAAAAACAAGTAACCAGGCAGTTCTATTACATTGACAAAAAAAAATTGAAGAAAAACTTGGTTCGGGTTACAAATTCTCAGTTTTTTTATTAAACCTGTTAGCATTGGACTAATTAATTTAAAAAAACTTATGCACCCAGGTGTTGGTGCCACCCGTACTCAAGTGTCAGAGGCAGGCAGATCTCTGTGTTCAACGGCAGCCTAATCTACAGAGTGAGTTCCAGGACAGCCAGGGCTACACAGAGAAACCATATCTCCAAGAGGAAAAAAAAAAGAGAGAAAAACCATATGCAATCATAAACCTATTTTAAAAACCTAAAGTCAACCTATGCCTTGTGCTTTCCATGTAGTTCAGAAATACAAGGAAATTCATTATATAAACAATGACAGCTTTTAAAAAAACTGCTTTTAAGCAGATCAAGAATACATATTTCCAAAATCTAATGCTCAGACACTGGACTGACACCTGAGAACTGAAAACCGAAATGTGAGTTAAAGCAAAAGAAAACTGCCCAGTGTAGTACCTGTTAGAACCATAGCTCAAAAGACTGACCTCCACCAGCAGTCACCTCTGACCAGCTTGGAAGGGAGCACCCAAGGCTTCTGTCACTGTGCTTCCATTCACTGCTTTCTGATACAGAGCTATATAGTCAGTTTCCTATTCCTACCTTGCTTACCACCTGCCCGAGGCCAAGAGAACAGGTGTTTTGAGTGTGTGGGGATGACATTAACAACCATTCGCCTTGATATATTTGACCTCCAGCAGTTACTAAAACTACCTGGACTCAAAACTTCCCAGGTTAAATGCAGATCACTACTTTATTTTAAAACGTAATGAATTACTAACATTTGCCTACCCCTACATGCAGGTTATGTAGAACACGTTCCAAGGAAACAATGTTATATTCAGAAGCAAGCCAGTTAAGTTCAGCATACATCCCCCCCCACAGCCTTTGGTTCTTTACTGCCACTTTGTATTTACTTGGAAAACAGAAGCACAACTTGAAACTTCCTTGGTTTTTAACTTTTTGCAAGGATGTACACCTTTAGAGCTAGTCCTAAAACTTTGGCTGTAGTCTTGTTTCAGTAGCAAACATCTGCTAGCTAACCTGCTTTCTAAAGCTGGGAGTAGGTGATCTAGAAGTAGCCCATAGAAACATAGGTTGACCACAAATCCTTGAAAATGTCTTTGTGAACCCTAGAAATCCAACCAAATAAATACTAAAATAAATTACTTAGCTGGACTTGATGAAATGTGAACATTAACTCCTGGCACTGAGGAGATTCTGAGCTCCTCCTGAGTTCCAGGCCAGTAAGGGCTCATAGCAAGAATTTAAAAAAAAAAAAAAAAAGTTGCTCATAGATGGTTTGAGAGGAGACCTAACTGCTGTGCTTGCCAACAAACCCAATCGGTGATTGTGACCCAATGCACAATCACTGGACACTAGAAACCATCCTCTCCCCAGCAATTTCAGATGTGACTTATTTTTGTGGTTCTGGTGACTGAACCTGGGGCTTCCTGTATTCCATGCCAAGTGCTCCACCTCTGAGCTGAAGCTCGAGTCCTATCCAATTTCAAACTCTAACCTCAAGTCTGGTGAGAATTTAAACTCTTCATTTCCTTGGACTTATATTCTTCTCAAAGTTTTTTTTTTTTAATCTAAGTTTGTTCTGATTCAAAACTAAAACATTAGAAGTTAAAAGGGGGTCTAGAGAAGTCAAGATCTAATGTCAGAGTTTGACTTCCTGCTGGCGGGAATTTCCCATTACCTCGAGGTGCGTTTCGGACCTGCTGAGTGGCACACTCAGTTACATTATACTGCCTATATTTTCTTCTCTATTTTCTCCAGAAGCTAACTTGAAGGCGCATCTATGTATCCACGTAGGTGCGAAGAAAGCCAAGTCCTCCTTTGTCATTCAAAACCCCGCTGGGAGTCCCACACTGGCTCGCACAGATGCCACCACGGGTTTTCTCATGCTGAGGTTTGCACCCCAGGTTCAAGAGTTCGTTGGCCAAGTGCCCCACAGCCACACAGCCTGCACAGATGCCTATCCTTTCCTTACTGAGTGCCTTGGTTCTACCTCGTTCTCCAGTTCACTGTGCCTACCTGATCGCACCCAGGTGACCGGGAAGGGCGGGAAAAAAGGGAACTCCCGGCATAGTGCAGGGGAAAACAGTGGGGTTTGGAGAGATCACGTCTTGGGGTGGCTGTCTCTGCACCACTGAGCCTTTGATCCCGGGGTTGCGCGCCTCCGTTCTGCAGCCCTGAAAGGCGCGATCACGCTCTCAGCTTGGGCTCTCCCAACCCCCATCCCCATATCCGAAGGCTTCCTTAGGGTCCAGGCCCAGCTACAACATCCCGGAGAGCCGGCGCGCGCCAGAGAATGCGCGTGGAGCACGTAGGGCCGGCCAGACGCGTGACGCCCGCCGTTGGCGCGCCGGACCACGCGCCGGGCCCAAGGCGCAGGCAGGAGGCCGCGCCGGCCGTTGGTGGGGGTGGGGACCCGCCGCGCGGCCTCCCGGGCGCTCCGCTCGCGGCCGCAGCTCGGCTTACGCCCGGCCCGCATCCGATCAGCCCCACCCGCGGGCCCATGTACCTGAACGGCTGAGAGGGAAGACAGGGCTGCTGCGTGGGAGGAGGTGGCGGCGTCCCTCGCGCGATGCCGCGGCACGCGTGCCCGCCGCCCGCTATATAGCCACGCTCAGCCGAACCTGCTGCTCCCGGCCGCGTGCAGGGACCAATGGCCGCCTCGCCGCCGCGCCCCTTGGCTGCGATTGGACAGTGCCTTCGTCCCGGGGTCGGACTCCTGAGTGGCTGCCGCATCTGCCTATAACTGAAGGATTCAGAACCCAGATGGACACGAAGCAGCACCAATACTTGGGTGGGCTATAAAAATGAGGGCGGGATGCACTGAGAGCGACACTCAGACAAGCCAATAGCTGCATGCACCCGTTCTCATTGGCTTACATTTCTTTTTTCTGGGCGGAAACCCACTGTCCAGGCAGGAGCGGTTGATCCACAAGGTGGGGCCCGTGTACTTTGGGGAAGTAAACCCCATGCAACTAGGAGGTAGGCGCGGGGGAGCAAGGAAGCTCCCAGCCAATCGCAACACCGGATGGAACTGATTGACAGGGAGGGATGGACCTCTCCAAAGGCAGCCCCAGGGCCTCGGTGCCCTCCGGGGCGGTTAAGAGGATGTGCTAGCTGCGTCCTCCTTCGCTTTCCTTTCTCTTCCTCTGAGGTCGAATCCTGTCCTCGAGGATTCCTCTTTCGCCTTTTCTGGCGACTTTGGTACCCGGGATCTAAGTGACAGAGTCTCCCGGGTTTGGTGGGTTTTTGGGGATTTTGTTTTGTTTTGTTTTTTTCCTCTTCGCATCAAAACTTTTTTTGCATGCATTTCAGAAGAGCACAAGCTGCTGACCCTTAGCATTACTCAGCACGAATGCAGTGGCGACAGAGGACAGCGAAACTGGCTTGGTCAAGGGACCGCCGAGCATACCGCGAGGCAGCTTCGCTAGCGTTTGGGAATGCGCTTGTCCCCGGTTGGCTTCCGGGCTGGCGTGCCCGAGTGGCCCATGGACGTTTTCAGGAGGTTTTCCCGTCTTGCGATTGCAGAGACAAGGTCCCCACTTTGATCACCTTCTGGCTTTCGTGTGCTATAGGGTACATCACTAACAGCCATTGTCACATGCTTTTCAAATTGAAATGGGGACTTACCCAACTCCTAGGCAGACACGTCTAAGGTTCCCCTATAAACGCTCCAGGGTCCAAATAGCACCTCAGTCTGCTGCTGTCCGAAACTCGGGGGTTATGTGAGCCCTCTGGCCACCATGAGCATTTTATATTTAAAGAGCTGTAGTCCAAATGCTAAGCACAAACTAGACTGTGTTCCCTGGAGGCAGGGAGAATTTCAGGCCACCCTGAGCTACATAGCAAGTCGGAAGTCATCCTGAGTGACATGACATCCTGAAAGCAAGCTAAACTCACATTAATTTGTTTTTTTGTGTTTTTTTGTGGTTTTTTTTGTTTTTTTTTAGGGCTTTTTGAGCCAAGGTCTCCCCTTGTAGCCTATGCTGACCTAGATTTACCATGTAAACTCGATCTCGAACTGTAAAACATGTAAAACTGATCTCGAACTCGCCGTCGTCCTACCCCAACCTCCTAAATACCGGAAATAACAGGCGTTAAATTGTTTCGGCGAGTTTCCGAAAGGGAACACGTGGACAATCCCCTCGTGCAAAGGAAAGACTCAGCCAGCCCAGCCCAGGCTGAAAGGGAAAGGCAGCCAGGCAGAGCCTGGAATTCCGGAAGCCAGCAGCCAAGTGATAAGTCTGTACTGCTCAAACAGCTCAGCGTCTTCTGCCCTGAAGCAGCCAGAGTGCTTGTCAACAGTCAGCAGGCACTGAGCCTCCAGTAAAAACCTGGTTCTACGGCTGCAAACACCAAGCCCTGAAGCTGTACTAACATTCCTCCACAGCCTTCTCGGATCACTTGGTAGGATCACTAACCCAACCAAGGAATTTGGACTTTGTTTTGGAGCTGTATAGGCTTTCCTTGCTTGCTTGCTTGCTTGCTTGCTTGCTTGCTTGCTTGCTTGCTTTTAAAGATAGTCCTGGCTATCCCAGAACTCACTATGCAGACCAGACTGGACTCTAACTCACAGAAATCCCCCTGCCTCTGCCTCCTGAGTGCTGGACTTATAGGGATGCAGCCCCACACCCATCTGGAAGGTTTTTTTGTTGTTGTTCTTATTGTTGATTTTTGTTTTTTGTTTTTAAGGTAAACCAGGAAATTTGAGATTCATTTCAGGTTTTGCAGGAAAAAAAATGAAATACCTAGCTGGGCAGTGGTGGCTCACGCCTTTAATCCCAGCACTTGGGAGGCAGAGGCAGGCAGATTTCTGAGTTCGAGGCCAGCCTGGTTTACAGAGTGAGTTCCAGGACAGCCAGGGCTATACAGAGAAACCCCGTCTCTAAAAACAAAAACAAAAAAAACAAAAGAAAAGAAAAAAAAAGAAATACCTTATTCAGAGAACTTTGACAGATTTTCACAAGGATTCTTTTTATTAAAATTCCAACGTTCCTGGCAGCTAAAACTCTCTCTCTCTCTCTCTCTCTCTCTCTCTCTCTCTCTCTCTCTCTCTCTCCATATTATTTGTTTAACAAATAACATAATCACAGCCCCATCTGGCCTGGAACTCATAAAGATCCTCCCTATTCTGCCTCTGCTGGCATTAAAGCAGCACACCACCAAAACTAGCTTTAAGAGACTGCTTTAAAGATGTATTTATAAGGGGAGAAATCCCTAAAGAGACATAATCTTTTTGTTGTTTTGGAATAGTACACATGCATGTGAAGTGTTTCAATCAAGACCACCCTATTCCCTCTCCCCCTAATTCCATGGGGGCTCCCACTGGGTCCACTTAGTACTGCAGCTATGTGCATGGGCATGGGACCATCTACTGGAGCAATAGTAGCCTCTCTGGTGCCATCTACCTGAAGAAAACTGACTTTCCCTCTCCTAGTGACCAGTTGCCAGTAGCTCCTCAGCTAAGGGTGAAACTAAGCAGGAGCATCGTCTGGCTTGACTTTTCCCAGATCTTGTGTGCATGCTGGCATTGTCACTGTAAGTTCATATGGGCAGATGCCCTGTCGTGTCCTGAATCATCCACTGTCTCTGCCCCTTAGTCTTTCTGCCCACTATTCTACAGAGAGCTTTGAGCCTCGGAGTGATACTGGCATCCAATTTAGGGTTGAGAACTCCACAGTCTCTTGTTCTAGCATGTTGATCAAATCATGAATCTCTGTGTTCATCACCAGCTACTGCAAAAAGAAGCTTCTCAGTGAGAATGAAAAGATTTTTGCAAACCCAAGGATTGCACACAGGCCCTGAGGTCTTCCAGTCATGGAGTTGGAGTTAGGGCTGGGGGTGGGTATGGGGATGGGGGTAACCAGTCCTCTATAGATTTCATGAAACTCTGTAAACAAAGGCTTACTACAGTAACGTTCAGGGCAGCACCCTTTGTAACAGAAAGAAGTCAAAGCCAGGTATCTTGTTGCAGGTGGAGGCAGGATTACCACTCTAAGTGAGCTACTATGTAGGAAGACTGCATCCAAAAAGAAAAAAAGAAAGCAATCCCACCCGAGCATCTAGCTACATAGACAGACATACTAACACTAACAGACACAATAACACAATCTCCACGTCCAAGGGACAGCCACCAAACCATCCAGAAGATGAGTCTACCAGTGTCAGTATAGAGCTGTTCAAAAGACAGAGACCAAAGAAGAGGGGAGAGTAGATACATTATGCCAGGCATAAGGCAGGTCAACATGGCAGAAGTTTCCATGGAAACGCTGAGGAGCCAGGGCTGCCCAGGCCCACCTATTTCTGTGTCTTTTCACTGGGCTTGCACTGGCAGGAAAGAAGCTGAGTCACAAGAAACAGTTAATGATTACCAAGAATGGGATGTACTTTGTCCTAGGGGAGAAGACTGGTTTAGATTTCATTCTGTACCCTTTGCCACTGTGATTTTTTTTTTCTGTTTAATTTTTTGTTGTTTTATTTGAGTCAGGGTCAAACAGTCTGGCCTTTAACTTCTGATCCTCCGGTCTTCACCTTCCAACTGCTAGGATGACCGGTGTGAATCACCAGGCACAGCTTGTGAGTGAGCACCCATCAAGGCCTGCCTGTGGAGGTCAGAGGACAGCAAGACAGGAAGCACCTGTTCTCTCGTCCTACCATGTGGGACCTGGGGATGAATCTCAGGTTGTTGCCATTACCTGGGCCCAAAATATAAAGATCTTTTTTATTTTTGAAAGACGTATTTATTTTATGTATATTGATATGCCATTGCTCTCTTTGGAGACACCAGAAGAGGGCATCAGACCCCATTGCAGAGGGTTGCAAGCCAACATGTGGTTGCTGGGACTTGAACTCAGGACCTCTAGAAGAGCAGTCAGTGCTCTTACTCACTGAGCCATCTCTCCAGCCCTAGAGATCTTTTTGTTGTTGTTTTGGGACAAGATCTCACCATGTAGCCTTGACCGGCTTGGAACTTGATATGGAGACAGGCTGGTGTTGAATTCACAGAGCGCTGTCTGCCTCTGCCTCCTCAATGATGAGATTAACGGTGTGTGTCTTCACCTTGAGCCCGGGATTAGGAGTTTGAGCTTATCTTGGGCTATATTGTAAGCTCTTGTCTCAAAAATTAATTAAGTGAAAGAAAAGAAAAAGAAAAAAAATAGTAAAATAAACCAGGACAGCAAAAGCTCTTTCTACAGTCTAAGGATTGGAGCTTGATTCCCGGCACTCATAACATGAGAAAAGCCACTCATTCAAGCTGTCCTCCGACCTCCAGATACATGCCGTGGTAAACAAATGTGCAAATTCACACACATAAAATAAGTATATTTAACATTTTTTAAGAGTCACTGTGGCCTAATGGCCACGTGCAGAGAAGATTTGTCTTCTGGTCATGCTGAGCTGGTCACTGGGTTTGTTGAAGGACATCAGCTACAGAGTTTGTGATTCAGGCAAAGATTGACGTCATGGCTGATCCAGAAAGTGATGGCCATTTCCAGTTCACTGGTATTAAAAAAAAATTCAACTCTTATACCCTCACAGGTAGAATGAATTGTGTCCTGGCCACATATGGAGGCATTGCTTTGTTGG